GCCCTACGGACAATTCCTTTGACCTCATGGCTTGGTTTTTGATCTGACATACATTGGCTACTGTGGGACCTTATATAGACAGGTGTGTGCCTTTCCAAATCATGTCCAATCAATTGAAATTACCACAGGTGGAATCCAATCAACTTGTAGAAACATCTCAAGGATGATCAATGGAAACAGGATGCACCTGAGCTTTGTCATTATGGGGTATTGTGTGTAAATTGCTAAAAAATATATTAATTTAATCAATTTTAAAATAAGGCTGTAACGTAACAAAATGTGGAAAAAGTCAAGGGCTCTGAATACTTTCCGAATGCACTGTATATATATATATATATATATATATATATATAAATGTTTTAGCAAAAAAAAAATCATTATCATAATTTTCACAAATTCCGAGTGTTATTTCGACTTCATATTGTGGATATATCATTTAAAAAAACAGGACAACCACGTTTTTAACTGCACTGCCCCTTTTATTTATGTCACTGTTGTTTTGAGCCGACTTTGCCGTCGCCCGAACAGGACACCTGGCTCACGCCCACGATGTCCCTGTTCCAAATCGAATGCAATCAACGCTAAACCGGTTCACCGGGGCATGTCCGGGGCGTTAATAGAATCCCCTCACTGAGACAGTTTTTGGGCGCGTGCCCAGTATCCTCATTTGGCCCGAGTTGTCTTGCACGGCGCCTGCGTTGTAGAGAAAGGTTTCTTGCTGGTTGCTTCTCGCGGCCTTAATTGTGTAAATTCGGCTTCCGGAGCTAGCTACTTTCTGTAATAGCAAGAGAAGACCGGTCGACATAGAGTATTGCATATTGCCTTAAATTAGCTAGTGTAAGGAAATATGAGAAGGATATGTTTGTTTAAAATCGTAACAGCCATACATAGCTAGCTACTTCTAACGGTCGCTTGTTAGCCAACTCACAGTCTAGTTATCGCCGACATCTAAAAGCTAGCTAACGAGTTTAGCTTTGCGCTAGCAAATGCTAACCCTTCCTAGCGTTACGTTGCTTGCCTACGTTGGATATTGTTATTTACCTGCTTGCTTAACTAGGTCTATGAGACTGCTGGAAACCATATGGTCCTACCTCATCACTGTAGCAAGCTAGGTGAATAATTTGGTTGGCATGATATATGTGTGGGTGTAACGTTAATTCCCGAGTCCGGGCAAGAAGTACCCGGAAGGGAAGAGCAGCTGCCACTTTTGCTGATGTATGATCAAGCTAACGTTATAACTGTAGACAATAGCGAATAGTTGCAGCGATTAGACTGTGTGGGACCCGGCAATCAAGCTTTCAAGTCTAATTTGGGATAAATGGTTTGAAAAGAAGAAAGGTGAGTCTCTAACTAGTCTGTCATCACCACATCCACTGAAGGCCTGGCTTGCTTATCCATGTTTTGGATGGGGGGTCTGGGCAGTAGCTAGCTAGAAAATTGGGCAGTAACCCAGCCAACTAACGCTAGCTTGCTAACCTAGCCAGAATGTTTAGCTAGCTAGCTAACACCGACAAAGTAACGGTAACGTAGTTTAGCTACTGTAGTTTGATAACATTGATTAGCTAACCAGTTTAACTAATTTAGCTAACCAACACGTTTTTGAATTTGGATTATCACCAAGTAATTAGTCATCAGGTTAGCCAATCAACTTCTAGCTATTTTGTTTTTTACATAGTGACCGTAACGTAATGTGGCCTAGCAGTAAGGATGTCATGTAATACAGTTAGCATAGCTAACGTTAGTCACATAACTACTAGCTGGCTAGGCATTTTAATTATTGGGCAATTTTCTAGGTTAACTACCACAAATCATTTGGTAACCATTTTGAATTTTCAGCGCTCTAAAATCAATATAGTTCGCCAGCTTGTAGTCCTAAAGACCGGAAATGAGTTACCGCTGGTTCGTTCAGCCATTCCTATGTGGAAAATTAATGGGGTTTTGGAATAAACGTCGAAAATAAGATCTGAGGCTAACACAAGCTTGGGATATCTTATACGTTTTGTTCTATGATATAATATTAGTCAGTTAACATGACCTTTATGAATTATAAAGCCATTATGTGTTTTTTTAAATTACATAAATGCTTCAAAATTCACAAAAAGTGTTGTTAGCTGACGAAGATTCTTATAGACCAATCGTGTAAGATCTCCTAAGCCTGTGTTTACCACAAACGTTATTTTCGTATTTTATCCCCAAATCCTATTTATTTACCCATAGGCTTTGGCCAACCAGCCATGGCAGAGTTAGTGCATACAAAAAGATGCCATTACTATTGCTCTCTAGGTTACTGATGGCAGCTGTTAGCTGGCTATGCTAACGTTAGCTAGATGAGTTTGCTAACCAACTGCTAGCTAGTTAGCTAACAATAGTCAGGCAACTAGCTACCTACAATAATATTTGTTTATCAGTACACAGGCGAAAGTAAGTCATATTTAGGTTCGCCAGCCTTGTGTCCCATGTTGTGGGGAGGAGAGCATAAACACACAAATCATTGGGCCAGTTCGTTTTGCATGGCTGGTGCCCCAGGTGGGTGGAGATTTCACTTAAAGACATACTCCGGAACTACTGTCTTACAGCAGAGAGACAGCAATAATGTGGTGCACATATATACTCGTGACTCGAGAGTACTTAGGTGTATGCAATTTTGAGGGATCACTTTTGGCTTGTGAGTGCTACTTTAAGAATTCCTGGCTAAAAAGTATACTAAAGTACCGGAGAATCTCTTTAAGGACCAATGGAATGGTCTAAAATGTGTAAAATCTGCCCTCCTGGGGCACTGGGCCATTAAAAATAACTCACCCATTGGCAAGTGAAGTGAGATGGCTAACGTGATCATCCTAGTAGTAGTACATAGTGTTTTGGTGCATGGCCGCCATCAATGTTGTCAGCTAGGGACTGTATGTACAGGTCCATGTTAATTTGTTGATCTTAGAATGCTTACTTCACACTGTTGCGTTTCAAGATTGACGTAGGTAGCTAGCTATGTCAATGGATGGACAAATTAACTAACCATCAACTTGTGGGCGGATAAGTTTAACGGAATACTGTGGCCATGTTCTTAGATAACTAACCTCCAACCATGTGCACAAAGTGGAGAAATAACCAATAACAACAATTGTCTTTAATCTACTTCACTTATCGAAGGCCTGATAGTCTTTTGCCTTTCACATGTGGCCACCCATGTGGTTTACCTGGAGAAATCACAATTTCTGTCACCAATTGCCATTCTGCCTCTCCTGTCCCCACTACCTCCATCCAGTCCCCTGTGTCTGTCTGTAGGCTACACCACTTTAAGCTAATGGAATGGATTGCTAATAAAAGTGCAGCGATAGCACTGTAGCATGGCAGCATGCCAGAGATGGAGGCTGAAGTCATCCAGGATATGACTATGGATGTGTTCCAAATGGAACCATATTCCTTATATAGTGCACTACTTTTGATCAGGACCCATAGGGCTTAGGGTGCCATTTGGGACACATACTATGAGGGGTGGTAGCTTACAGCTCTGAAGCCTCAGCCAAAAGCATGTTCTCTGTGTCTTAATTTAAACACTTTATGTAGTGCCCTGTTAACAACACATTCATCTGATGGTTGGTTTTATCAGTGTCTCTCTCTCCCATTTTAATTGCTAGACAGACACAGGCACATAGCAGTCCGTCTGGCTGTCAGCGAATGCAATGAGTCTCTCAAAGCGGAGCGAGTGATGGGGGAGAGGGAGGAGGGGGCAGGTGACCTGCCAGGCGAGACCAGATTGTTGACAGCGCACTTTTCTCATGCAGAAAGGATTGGGGATGGGGCGTGGGCTGATCTGACAGGCAGGGAGAGAGGGATTGAGGGTGAGAGGAGAATGATAGATAGATGGAGAGAGAGGAGAGGATGGTGAGAGGAGACAGTTCATTTTGCAGTCTGTGACTGCCTGAAAAGCGGATTCTATGTTATTCAATGCAGTATTAGGCCTGCTAGGCACTTAATATCCCTGGAAAATGCCTTCAGTGATGAGATCAATATATGGTTAACAGGAAGTATTTATACACAGAAACATTGTGAACAACATGTTATTGTTCTGTATCTGTCCTGTATCCCTCTCCTGGTCTGTTATAGGCTATTTGTTTTTTAATACATCCCAAATGGCATCCTATCCCCTAAATAGTGCACTACTTTTAAACAGCTCCTTATGGGCCCTGGTCAAAAGTAGTGCTCTACATAGCGAACAGCCCTGTTTTCTGTGTCCTGGGCCTGATCTGATCTATGGAAAGTAGTTTTATTGATTTGTTCTATTGTGTTTCAGCCCAGCACTGATTTAGCAGGATCACGATCACCACCACAGCCATTCTGCCTCTCCTGTCCCCACTACCTCCATCCAGTCCCCTGTGTCTGTCTGTCTGCTCTGAGAGCGAGCGGTCTATCTGGGCTATACAGAGAAACGAAGGACAACACAGCCGAGATTGAAGCACCAGCACTGACTGACAGATTTTAGTCTCTAGAGACCACACGAAGGACTTAGACAGCGAGAGAGAGCCCAGTTGGAGGGCAACTACCTGCGCCACTCTTAACACTAATAGGGTAAACAACCTGATTTGATCTCCCTGCATCCTCTGTCTTCTCATCCCTAACAGGGGAACAGAAGGAGGAGGAGTTGCTACTTTTGCTGCAGAGGTCCTCTTTAACCTGGTCCTGGGACACAGCATATTGTTTTGTTCAACACCCCTGCTCAGTACTGCCCTACCCACATCAGCCAACGGTGGTGTCACAAAGCAGACGGGTCTCTGTCCCCTACTCTGTCGTCACTTTGATTTATTCTCTCATTTTTTCCCAGTTGGTTTTGAGTCAACACCTGCCGACATCAGCCATCACAAAGCAGCGGGGTCTCTTTCTGTAGGACTGCAGTAGCTTTTAGGCTATTTATTCTCACATTTTTTTCCCCGTTTGGTTTTGGAGCCCGGTTATTTTACCGGCTGCTTGAACTGCTGAAACTGGGGCGCGATTCATGGGATGCAACCATGTCGGATCTCAGTGAGCGCAGGCCGGTCAACACGGACTATGCGGTCTCCCTGCTGGAGCAGCTCAAGTTCTTCTATGAACAGAAGTTACTGACTGACGTGGTGCTGCTGGTGGAGGACAACGAGTTCCCATGTCACAAGATGGTGCTGGCCACATGTAGCTCCTATTTCAGGTGAGTTAACTCAGTTTGCTGGTCGCTATTCCCTATGGAGTGCACTACTTTTGGAGTGCACTATAGGCCCTAGTAGTGCACTGTACTGTCAGAAGATGGTCTTGGTCAGGTGAGTCACTGAGGCGTCTTCTGGGCTGTTCTGTTCAACAGAACGTCACGTACCAGTACTACAGGACAGCAGTTTGTGACCATGATGCAGGCCTACCCCCTGGCCTGCCTGAGCAGGCCTATTTGGGAACACATTAGGTTGCTCCTGGGCTGTGTCTGAAATGGCACCCTATTTCCCTATATAGTGCACTTCTTACTATATAAGGAACAGGGTGCCATTTGGGACAGACCTCTGGGCTTACTGTAGCGTGTGTGTATTTGTGTTGGGGAGATGGAACTGTGAAATGGTTGGTTTATGTAAGTACTGGAAAGGACAATGTAGGCCTATGTCGGAAACATGACAAGCATTAGTCTGACACTCTTACGATTAAGCTACATGGACCATGTTCTCCCTGAAGTTATAGTGTGCGTTTCAAATTGTACCCTATTCCTTCTATATTCCACTACTTTTGACCAGGCACCATAGGGAATAAGGTGCCATTTGGGACACAGCCATGGTCAAATAGTGTTTGTTGTTTACTATGAAATATAGAGCTTTGTGTTACTGTTTGTCCCTAAAATGTCAGCTCCTACTTCTGTGTTTGCGTCAGTTATTAACCACTAGGTAGTAGTTGTCGTAGTAGTACGCAGAAACAAATGATGCAATTTTAATCTGTGGCTCAAGAGAAGGTAGACCCAGGGGGCTCATTCAGAAGCACAACATTACATAGCTGAAGTGTAGCACTGTAGTGGAGAGTGGAGATGATGACTGGGCAGTTTACATCCCAAATGGCACCCTATTCCCTAAATAGTGCACACATGTTGAACAGAGCCCTAAGAGGAATAGCCAACTGAAGCTCCTCTAGGAACTAATCCATCACTCTATCCCTCTTCTCCCCACCTCTCTCTCTCCCCCCTTCCACCTCTCTCTCTCCCCCCCTTCCACCTCTCTCTCTCACTCATATTTACATGACAGCAGCTTGTGTAGCCTAGTCTTTGAACACAGACATTCCTAGTAAAGATCCAGCAGACAAATGTACTGGCTGCTCTCACACCCACCTATTCATCATCCTCCTCACTGATTCCTACGCACACCACTTGTTATCCGGTGACAACATGCAAAGCAGTTCCCCTCTTTAAGGTTCAGAGGTATCCATTCTGTTGCTCTTGACGCGGTCTGGCTCTCCCCCTTTCTCCCCCCTTCCCTCCCCCCTTCTCTCCCCTCCTCGAGAGGTGTCCCTTCTCTCCCTCTTGGCACTCTCTGGCTCTCGTCCCTTCCTCGCTGCAGTTCAAGGGGAGCCGTGGGGGGCTCTGGCGTACTTATATTAGTAAGAAAACCCTTGTCATGCAGGCAAGCAGAGCTGTGTCGGTGAGGGGGGTGGGGTATGAGCGAGATGGAGGAGACAGAGGATGCCTGCAAGGTTGTGTAACATCCAGGCCAGATCCCTGGCAGATCCTGCTGTGAGCAGTACACACACACACAGGTTTTGGTGACATATTGTTTTGAAGGACAAAGGCAGTGTCACAGGCAGCTGTGTGTGTGTCAGGAAGGCTTGGAGGGAGGGGGAGGCTGGGGAAGAGAGGGAGACTAGGAGAGAGCGCTATGACAGGCTGGCTGGGGGGGTGTTGTTGAGCCACAGAGCAGAGGAGAGGGCATGCTCTGGTCTAGTGCCTGAGAAGTCCAACTGGGGCTGTTGGGAGTCAGTGTGTTACCTACCTCTGACTGTTGCATGCTGGAGCCCCAGTCAGACAAATGGATGTTGTAGATCGATCGATCAGGGTTTCCCAAACTCGTCCTGGACCTCCCACGTTTTGGTTTTTGTCCTAGCACTACAAGGCTGATTGAAATAATCAAAGCTTGATGATGAGTTGGTTATTTGAATCAGCTGTGAATGCTTGGGCAAAAACCAAAACGTGCACCCAGGGGGGGGGGACCCAGGACCGAGTTTGAGAAACCCTGTTGTAGATGACTGTCTAATATGTTATGCTCAGTGTCTGTCACAATACAACATGCTTTACTTCGCCCATAGCAGTAAACTAGTGCTTTAATAAAGATGTGAAATCACTGAATTTTGATATGGACAACATTTTAATGATGAGCTGACTGATTACTGATCCCTGTCCCTCCAACCCTGTTCTCTCTCTCTCTCTCAAGGGCAATGTTTATGAGTGGTCTGTCTGAGAGTAAACAGACTAATGTTCACCTGAGGAATGTGGACCCTGCCACTCTCCAGATCATCATCACCTACGCCTATACAGGCAACCTGGCTATCAATGACAGCACTGTGGAGCCACTCTATGAGACCGCATGCTTCCTACAGGTATGGTACCAGTCTCCTATCCATCCACCCCCCCCCCCCTACTCCTCTGGGTCTCAACATTACTCTATTAATCTGAACATCTGATCTACAGAGGTAGACGTATCCTACTCTACCCACTTACTACCATGTCTGTCCTTGTGAGTCTTGTCTAATGACTACATCACATCACTGACCCTCCTATTTCTGATCAGTGGACTCTGAGGAATGAGGAGTATGTATAGGCAAATGGACAGTGATTGTGATTCTTCTTAGTAATATAGTTGTGATATTGATCTTGTTTTTCAAGCAGTAGCTAGTTCTCTATAATACCACTCTGACCCTGCTCCCCTCCCCCTGTCTAGGTAGAGGATGTGCTACTGCAGTGCAGGGACTACCTGGTGAAGAAGATCCACGCAGACAACTGTGTCCGGATGCTGAGCATCGGGGATCTGTTCTCCTGTGTGGAGCTGAAACAGAGCGCAAAGCGCATGGTGGAACACAAGTTCCCCGTAGTGTACCACCAGGAGGCCTTCCTACAGCTGTCCCACGAGCTGCTGGTCGACGTACTGTGCTCAGACAACCTCAACGTGGAGAAGGTGGGTACACACTATTCTGTTTATATGTACTTATGTACTTTCTACATACTTAGAAATATTCCTACAGGTATATGTACTCTCTACTCTGTCTTAATGTTGTTGGTTGTATGTGTATTTCTTATCCCTGAGCTGTAAAGCAAGTTACCCCTATGGGATAAGAATACGGATTCTGGCTACACAAAGTGACTGCTTGTAAAACTGATACCTATGGTGCTGTCACGATGTAGTATGTTTGATGTTCAAATATTCTCTTTTCTCTTAGGAGGAGACTGTGAGGGAGGCTGCCATGCTGTGGCTGGAGTACAACATGGAGGCTAGGTCCCAGTACCTGTCCTCAGTTCTCAGCCAGATCCGCATCGATGCTCTCTCCGAGGTGACTCAGCGTGCCTGGTTCCAGGGCCTACCGCCTAACGACAAGTCTGTCGTAGTGCAGGGCCTCTACAAGTCCATGCCCAAGTTCTTCAAACCCCGCCTGGGCATGACCAAGGAGGAGATGCTCATCTTCATGGAGGCCACGTCAGAGTGGCCGGCCGACATGGGTCACGTGATGACGGGCCCCAACCACACAGTGGTATGTTACAGCCCACAGGCCGAGAAGGTCTACAAGCTCAGCAACCCGCCCGGCGATCTCCAGAAGGTTGGGACGCTCGTCACACCCGACAACGACGTGTTCATCGCTGGCGGGCAGATCCCGCTGAAGAACTCGATCGCCAACCACGGGAAGAGCGGTGGAAAGCTACAGGCGGTGTTCCGATCGGTGGATAGCTTCTTCTGGTTTGACGCCCAGCAGAATGCATGGGTGCCCAAGACGCCCATGCTGTGTGCCCGCATCAAGCCCTCTCTGGTCTACTGCGAGGGGTATATCTACGCCATCGGGGGGGACAACGTGGGCGGGGAGCTGAATAAACGTACCGTAGAGCGCTACGACTGTGAGAAAGATGAGTGGGCCATGATGAGCCCTCTCCCCTGCGCCTGGAACTGGACCACGTCTGTAGCAGCCCACGACTGTATCTACGTGATGACCCACGACCTCATGTACTGCTACTTCCCCCGCGCTGACACCTGGGTAGAGATGGCCATGAGGAAGACCAGTCGCTGCTTCGCCTCCGCCGCCACATTCGGTGACCTCATCTTCTACATCGGGGGGCTCCACGTCGTCTCCAACTCGGGTGTCCGCATGCCCACCAGCACCATCGACGGCTCTTCCGTCACTGTGGAGATCTACGACGTCGGCAAGAACGAGTGGCGCCTGGCTGCCAACATCCCCGCCAAGCGCTATTCGGACCCGTGCGTGCGGGCTGTGGTGCTCCTTGGCTCTCTGTGCATCTTCATGCGCGAGACTCACATGAACGAGCGCGCCAAGTACGCCATCTACCAGTACGACCTGGAGCTCGACCGCTGGTACCTGAGGCAGCCCGTGTCTGAGCGCGTGCTCTGGGACCTGGGGAAGGACTTCCGCTGCGCCGTGGGGAAGCTGTACCCATCCTGTCTGGAAGAATCCCCATGGAAACCACCCACCTACCTGTTCTCCCCCGACGGGGCCGAGGAGTTTGAGGTGGACGGGGAGATGGTCTCCCTCCCTCACATATAGCTCTTAACCTTTCACCTCTCTGCCCCCAAACTGTGTCCCCGACTTGAACTCTGGATGTGACATGTTGAGGGATGGACCTGAAGGCCAGGGGGGAAGGTTTGATGTCTGTCTGTTCCAGAGGGATCTGAGAGCTACAAGGCTGTTCTGGCTGCCTGCATGGCTGGCTGTTGCTGACAAACTATACAAAGCCTCAGACGTTCAAAATATAGGTGAAAAACGATTCCCCTCAAAATACTAGTAATATGGGAAAAAAATAGTTTTCTGTTTTTTCTTTTGTCCGTTGCAACTTCAAGTCTGTTATACTGTTTCTACAATGTGATAATTGAAAGTCGACTGATTTGTGATGATGCACTTACGGGCGAAAAGCTCCTTCGAATAACTGTAGCAAATTCCCCCAACCTCCTGGTCTCTCTCTCTCATATATATCACCACTGTTGTAAACCCACATCCATCTCTCCTAGGGACACCTGGCCTGTGTCCCAGCCATATGGTACCCTATTCCCTAAGTAGTGCACTAAATAGGTAATAAGGTACCATTTGGGATGCTCCTGGTGTAGGAACATACAGGGCTGAGTGTTGGGGGTGAGTAGGTAGTAGGCCTAGTGTTGGGGGGTGAGTAGGTAGTAGGCCTAGTGTTGGGGGGTGAGTAGGTAGTAGGCCTAGTGTTGGGGGGTGAGTAGGTAGTAGGCCGAGTGTTGGGGGGTGAGTAGGTAGTAGGCCGAGTGTTGGGGGGTGAGTAGGTAGTAGGCCGAGTGTTGGGGGGTGAGTAGGTAGTAGGCCGAGTGTTGGGGGGTGAGTAGGTAGTAGGCCGAGTGTTGGGGGGTGAGTAGGTAGTAGGCCTAGTGGCGGTAACAGGGAGGTACGGGAGAGAAGGGGTTCTAGGTGGTGACTGCAGGTCCAGTCACTAGCCTTTTCTTCTTCACCTCTGTTCCAGACACGCAGTCCCCTGCCTCTCCCCTCAGTCCTCTAGTCCCCTGCCTCTCCCCTCAGTCCTCTAGTCCCCTGCCTCTCCCCTCAGTCCTCTAGTCCCCTGCTCACACTAGCACCACTGTCTGTCTCTTAGGCCGCCTCCCAAATGGCACCCTATTCCCTACACAGTGCACTACTTTTGACCAGGGTGCAAAGGGCGACCATAGGCTTGTTGAGCTGGCCCATAGAGATCTTGCCAAAAGTAGTGTCCTATATAGGGTGCCATTTGGGAGGCATCCTTAGTCAATCTCTCTGGACACAGGTCTTCCACAGAGCTAGCCAGCAGTTTACAGAACAGAGTTTACTCTAACCAACCGCCATCTCATTGTCGTGATAGGAGGATTTATGCCGGCTCTTCTCTCGTTTTTAATTTGATTTTGACAAGCGCGGGTCTCTGCAACAACACACGCCTCCTTCACTCTATCTCAATACTCTCATCAACCATAGATTTTTGGGCTCATGCATTTTTTTTCTTCCCAAGCTGCTGAAATATATAAATATATATTTTTCATATGTTTATAAAAGACAAATTGTTTGTGTGGGGAAAATAACCAGGTTCTATTTTGTATTAGTCTTTTTTAATTTAATATCAGACATTACTGTAGTGTGATTGTGTTTAGGTATCCACCCCCCCCCCATCATATTATTTTCTTGTGAGTGGAATATTGAGGAATCTTGCTGCTGATTGGGTCTGAAAAGGAAGGAGAGGGCTGGCCCAGGGCTGTTGCTATGGAAATTGTCCCGGCAACCACTAGCAGTAGTGGAGACAGAATGGAGGATGGTATGGGAGGGAAGGAGCAGACGGAGCTGCTTCATGGTTTTAACCTTAACATGAGCACAGGTGCTTCATGACAAACCTTACTAGCGTGTTTGGCTGCATCATGTTCCTTTGGCACTGTATTTTGAATGAACGTTAATTTATTAAAAAACATACCAAAACGTTCTCGAAAAAACAACTTGTTATTTTCACATGGGTTAATGAAGCACACTTGATTTTGTCTTAAACATGTCACAAAATGTATTCATACCCGTTAATCCAGTCAGTTCACAATTACAGACCTGTCATTATTTTACCAGCATTAGTTACTGAGCATATTGTTGATCAGGCAAGTTCTTAATAAAGGGTTGGGATTTAGCCTATGTTAAATTAAAATGTTGTTTCTCCATTCTCATGCGTTGCCTCACACCCAAAAGGCAGGCAGCATCCATCCACAGTCATTCACCCAGGCCCTCTGTCAGTACCACCTCTGAATAGCTGTGTGTCCCAAATTGCACCCTATTCCCTACATAGTGCACTACTTTCGACCAGGGCCTGTAGGGACTATGCAGGGTATAGGGTGCCATTTGTGACTGAACCGCTGAAGCCAAACAAACATCCCTCTACTGCTCTGCCCCCCTCCCCACCCACAGCTTTTGAGCTGATAATCTGAAAGTCATCCGTGAGGTCCCTGGGTTCGTGTATGTGATGTTGTTGAACTGAGGCACGTGGCTGCAGCCTGTTTTTGTCCGGCAGACCCTGCGCCTGCTACCACATGTCCTGGTACTCTCCCCTACCTCGCCCCCCACCGTCTTTTGTTTGGCTGACCTACATACAGTACGAACACAGACCAGACTATGAATATCTTGCTCTCTTTAACAGAAGCTTACAGGGGAAAATACTATTTTAATATTTTGTGTAGTAAATGTTTCTAAGAAGCTTACAGGAGAAATACTTTCCTTTCATTGTTTGTTTAGGTACAGAAGCAAAGATAAAAAGGCTGATTTCCATCTGTTTAAGTACAAAAGCTATGAGAAAGTCGATTTCCATCTGTCTTTTCATATTTAATGCAGCAATATAGCATAAACTAACTTTTTCACCCAAACATTTTGTGAATTTCAATTCACAATTTAGATACATTCATATTTTAAATACAATGTCAGATGAAAGAGAAAACACCTCAAAAACAAATAGTTTCATACTTAATGTCATTTTCAGAGTTCAACAGCAACAAATGGAGCATACAGTCAAAACACAGGCAATACGAATGACTCAGATTTTAGTTTAAAAGTCAAGACAGGAAATCAAGGAGATGATGGTCCAAAGTTCAGACAACCGGCAAAGATTTCGTTATTACAGTTTAAAAACTGGACCTGGGCCCATGTCCATAAAGCATCTCAGAGTAGGAGTGCTGATTTAGGATCAAGTTTGGCCTTTCAGATGTTAATTTATAAGGTTATATGGACAGGTGGGGTCCTGATCCTAGATCAGCACTCCTACTCAGACTTTTAGTGGATACAAGCCCAGGTCTCAAAGAGCATGCCTATAAAAGACATAACACATTTATTTTCTAAATATATGGATCTGTGCCTAACTGTTACAAACTTATCCAACAACTTCAATACAAACAGTTGGGGAAAAAGTTACAATATAGGCTACTAAGAGTACATAGAAATATAATCATCTTTCTTATGTGCAACCAATTCCCTACGTACAGCACTAGTTTTGGCAGTGCACTATCTAGGGAATAGGTTTAAAGGGCCTTAGTCAAAAGTAGTGACCTACAGTGGGGGAAAAAAGTATTTAGTCAGCCACCAATTGTGCAAGTTCTCCCACTTAAAAAGATGAGAGGCCTGTAATTTTCATCATAGGTACACGTCAACTATGACAGACAAATTGAGAGAAAAAAAATCCAGAAAATCACATTGTAGGATTTTTTAATGAATTTATTTGCAAATTATGGTGGAAAATAAGTATTTGGTCACCTACAAACAAGCAAGATTTCTGGCTCTCACAGACCTGTAACAACTTATTTAAGAGTCTCCTCTGTCCTCCACTCGTTACCTGTATTAATGGCACCTGTTTGAACTTGTTATCAGTATAAAAGACACCTGTCCACAACCTCAAACAGTCACACTCCAAACTCCACTATGGCCAAGACCAAAGAGCTGTCAAAGGACACCAGAAACAAAATTGTAGACCTGCACCAGGCTGGGAAGACTGAATCTGCAATAGGTAAGCAGCTTGGTTTGAAGAAATCAACTGTGGGAGCAATTATTAGGAAATGGAAGAAAAACAAGACCACTGATAATCTCCCTCGATCTGGGGCTCCACGCAAGATCTCACCCCGTGGGGTCAAAATGATCACAAGAACAGTGAGTAAAAATCCCAGAACCACACAGGGGGACCTAGTGAACGACCTGCAGAGAGCTGGGACCAAAGTAACAAAGCCTACCATCAGTAACACACTACGCCGCCAGGGACTCAAATCCTGCAGTGCCAGACGTGTCCCCCTGCTTAAGCCAGTACATGTCCAGGCCCATCTGAAGTTTGCTAGAGTGCATTTGGATGATCCAGAAGAGGATTGGGAGAATGTTATAAGGTCAGTTGAAACCAAAATAGAACTTTTTGGTAAAAACTCAACTCGTCGTGTTTGGAGGACAAAGAATGCTGAGTTGCATCCAAAGAACACCATACCTACTGTGAAGCATGGGGGTGGAAACATCATGCTTTGGGGCTGTTTTTCTGCAAAGGGACCAGGACGACTGATCCGTGTAAAGGAAAGAATGAATGGGGCCATGTATCGTGAGATTTTGAGTGAAAACCTCCTTCCATCAGCAAGGGCATTGAAGATGAAACGTGGCTGGGTCTTTCAGCATGACAATGATCCCAAACACACCGCCCGGGCAACGAAGGAGTGGCTTCGTAAGAAGCATTTCAAGGTCCTGGAGTGGCCTAGCCAGTCTCCAGATCTCAACCCCATAGAAAATCTTTGGAGGGAGTTGAAAGTCCGTGTTGCCCAGCGACAGCCCCAAAACATCACTGCTCTAGAGGAGATCTGCATGGAGGAATGGGCCAAAACACCAGCAACAGTGTGTGAAAAACTTGTGAAGACTTACAGAAAACGTTTGACCTGTGTCATTGCCAACAAAGGGTATATAACAAAGTATTGAGAAACTTTTGTTATTGACCAAATACTTATTTTCCACCATAATTTGCAAATAAAATTATAAAAAATCCTACAATGTGATTTTCTGGATTTTTTTTCTTCTCA